TTTGTTTATATAATATATATATATATATATATATATATATATATATATATATTATGTGTGTGTGTACTGTGTATGTTTATGTATATATAAAATACACACACATGCAGTATATATTTTGAAAATATTTACATGCATAGATTTATATGAATATAATTTATATTATATATAAATCTATTTATATTATAAACATCAAATATTTTTCTGAAATGTATACATGCATGTATGCGTATTTATATATACATAATAAATATACACAGTACACTCACATATTATGTAAACAAAAACTTTTATTTTGGACTTATGATAAAATAAATTGTTAAATTGATAATATAATTGCAATTAATTGTTTGACAGCACTATTTATATTATAATAAGTTTATATTTTTATTTATAGTATATTGGTTGCACTTGTTTGTTTCTACCGTTTGCACTGATCTTTTGATGTGGTTTTCATGATTATGTTTGGTTGTTGTTGGTTTTTGTTTTGTTTAGCTTTGTTTTGTTTAACATTGTTTTATTTTTTTTCTTCAAAGTTTATTTATAAAGCACTTTTAAAAACAACAATTGTTTACCAAAGTGCTGTACAAGCATACTCCATTTAAAACAATAGACACATGAAAACAAACATAAGACCAACACAATCATAAAAACCTGCTCTCATACGGTGTTAAAAGTTTTGAGATTAGATTTAAAAACAGAAAGTGTTTGGGCCTGCCTAACATGGAGAGTTGTTTTATTTTTTGTTTAGAGTTGTTTTCTTTTCTTTTTTTTTTTTTGTGGTTTGTTTTGCTATCTTTGTTGTTTTTTTTTAGTTATACATGTTCATTTGTTGGCTCTTAGAAATCTTAGTTCCTTTATTCTCTTTCATATATCCAGATTTTGCTGATATTTCTACAAAAGATGGACCTTCTTTTGACCAAAACGCCTCCTGAAGACATCAAGAACAGCGTTCTGCCCATGGTGTACAGAGCGGTGGAAGCCCCCTCTATTCAAATACAGGTGACCACACCATAAACTTGTTTGGATGAGAAAAATTAATTTGCTTATCAAGTTGTTTTATTAGTATTTTAATTGATAATCTTCAGTAACTGTTAATTGTCTGATTGATGTATTTTAAGGCATCAATGTATTTTGACACCCCAGTAGCTGAATCATTTATTTCAGACATTTAGGTATTTCAACATTTTAAAGTATAACAACTAGGGATGCACGATATTATCTGACCAATATCGGAATCGGCCGATAATAAGTTTTATTATCGGCCGATAAGGTGATTTAATTCCTCAGGGGGAGCTGTTGACCTACTTCTAATAAAATTAAAGCAAAATACACAAATAATATTTAGACTGTGTTTCTAAATAAAAATAAAGCAGTAATTGATGCCATAAAATCATAAGTATGTTTTGATTTAAAGGTCAGAATCTATAGCTTACATGAAAAAAAAAAAAAAATCACACAAACATGACACTTAAATTAAATAATTTTATATACACATTCATTAATGTGTAATGTTGTATTTTTTAAAATAAATTATGAGCTCTAAAAGATTTTCAGAATTTTTACAACTCTTTTGCTTTAGACCATTTACAAATGTTAGATCTTAAAATAAAATGTTAAGGTTACCACTGCATCTTCCTGAAAAAAAAATGCAGCATTTGAATATAGCTTATTTATAGTTCTTTTCAAATGTTCAATGTACTGTCAGTATAAAATAACTTCATTATTGTTGATTTAATTCTAATAAATAAGCTCTTGTTAAAAACTAACCAAAATTAAAAAGAATTTGCTTACAATTTCTGCACAGGAGAGACTTGGTGTTGTTTCCAAACAAAAAATATATTGGTATTGGTTTAGTTTAGAGCTTTATTAATCCCCTTGGGGCAATTAATTCAGACTTTCGTAGTGCTTCACATTTACAACACTTAACACACACATACTTATATTTAAAATACACCAAATACATAAAAAGGGATAAAAAAACAAACAAAAAAAACAATTTCATTAATTAAATAAATCATCTATTGGCTATCGGCCAAAATGAGTTGAAAAATATCGGCAAAAATCCTATAACGTGCATCCCAAATAACAACTGTTTTTGTTCTTTTTCTAAACAGGAACTTTGTCTAAATATCATTCCCACGTTTGCCAATCTAAAATCATAAGTATGTTTTGATTTAAAGGTCAGAATCTATAGCTTACATGAAAAAAAAAAAAAATCACACAAACATGACACTTAAATTAAATAATTTTATATACACATTCATTAATGTGTAATGTTGTATTTTTTAAAATAAATTATGAGCTCTAAAAGATTTTCAGAATTTTTACAACTCTTTTGCTTTAGACCATTTACAAATGTTAGATCTTAAAATAAAATGTTAAGGTTACCACTGCATCTTCCTGAAAAAAAAATGCAGCATTTGAATATAGCTTATTTATAGTTCTTTTCAAATGTTCAATGTACTGTCAGTATAAAATAACTTCATTATTGTTGATTTAATTCTAATAAATAAGCTCTTGTTAAAAACTAACCAAAATTAAAAAGAATTTGCTTACAATTTCTGCACAGGAGAGACTTGGTGTTGTTTCCAAACAAAAAATATATTGGTATTAGTTTAGTTTAGAGCTTTATTAATCCCCTTGGGGCAATTAATTCAGACTTTCGTAGTGCTTCACATATACAACACTTAACACACACATACTTATATTTAAAATACACCAAATACATAAAAAGGGATAAAAAAACAAACAAAAAAAACAATTTCATTAATTAAATAAATCATCTATTGGCTATCGGCCAAAATGAGTTGAAAAATATCGGCAAAAGTCCTATAACGTGCATCCCAAATAACAACTGTTTTTGTTCTTTTTCTAAACAGGAACTTTGTCTAAATATCATTCCCACGTTTGCCAATCTAATTGAGTACCCATCCATGAAGAATGCACTTATTCCTCGTATCAAATCTGCTTGTTTACAGACATCCTCACTAGCGGTTTGTGTCCTTATGCTTCTTATTTTTTCAGTAAAATAAGTGAATATCATTGATCAGTTTGGAAGAGTAGTTATGAGATTTGTTTTTCTAAAGAAGATTACTTTCTCCTTTTTCAGGTAAGGGTGAACTCTTTGGTGTGCCTAGGCAAGATTCTGGAATACCTGGATAAATGGTTCGTCATTGATGAAATTCTACCATTCCTGCAACAGATTCCATCCAGGGAACCAGCTGTGCTCATGGGCATTCTGGGTAATTAATTTAGGCTCAAAATAACAAAATCATCATTATGTAGTAGTCCTTACAACGTCTTTGTCAGTGTTCTTGTTTATTCCTTATTTGAAATATTTTTAGGCATCTACAAGTGCACTTTCACCCATAAGAAACTGGGCATCCCAAAAGAGCACCTGGCTGGAAAGAGTTTACCTCATCTGGTCTCACTTAGTATTGATAACAACCTTAACCTTAGCCAGGTGAGAACACACATTCTCTCTACACATAAACTGTTCTTGTTCATCCACAGAATATGAACTTGATTCAGTGTCACTTCAGCTCAGTTGTATAGATTATGTTCACACATTTTAAAACTGTTTTGTGTCTCTGTGTTTCAGTTTACCTCTTTCATGGCTGTGATCAGGGAAATGATGACTCGCATGGAGGCGGAGCATAAGACCAAATTAGAGCAGTTGCACATCATGCAGGAGCAGCAAAGGTTCCATTTCAGTTATTTCTCTGTTCATTGTGTTTATTCCTTCTTAAAATGCAGTTTTATTAATAAAAAGATTCTGTTTTTGCATTTACAAGACAGCAGTGAGATTCTACATCGAGTTGTTCACATTCTTAGATTTTGCTGTCTGTTAAAGGGGTCATATGTTGCGATTTCAAGTTTTCTTTTCTCTTTAGTGTTACAAGCTGTTTGTGAATAGATAAGATCCCTAAAGTTACAACGAATAAAGTCTCAAACCCAAAGAGATTTTTTATAAAAGTTAAGACTCATCCATGCTCTCCTAAAACGCCTCGTTCAGACACCCCCCCACATGTCTATGTCACTGTGTGGGAAGATTTGCATAACACCGCCCAAATGTTCACGCAAAGAAAGAAGGCGTACTTTGATTTTTGCTGTAGTATTGTTGCTGCTGCTGCCGCCGTGGCATGGAGATGCTGTGTGTTTTGTTGCTAAAGCAAAAATACTTTGTTTGGCCTTTCAAAAGAGGACACGACTAGAAATCAGTGGTTAAGTTGTATTTACAACACTGTTCCAGAACAGTTCAAACCAAATATTCGTGTGTGTGCAACGCATTTTACGGAGGACTGTTTCCTGAACCTGGGAGAGTAGCCTACAATGCCGGCTGTTCTGACTCAGCCTGTAAGTATGTTTTCATATTTAAAGGATTTGCCACTGATGATTCAAACGCGAGTTTTGAGCAGTGTAGAGTAGCGCTTGTTGTTTGTCATTTCTCCGATCGCAAATGCAGACATGGTTTAATGTTTACGCGGCGTGATGCAACGCAATGCGTAAAAAGACAGTAAGTCATTATAATCAGTAATTATGCCCCCACTGGATGGAACAAATGCCTTGTTTATAATGGGTTTTATTGTTTTTGTCTCGTGCACACGGCATCACAGTATGGTAAGGGGTGTAACATTTCTGTCACACGCTTGAGGTATTCGGCCAATCCCAACGCACTGGATAGCTGGCCAATCAGAGCACACCTCGCTTTTCAGACCGATGAGCTTTGTAAAAATCGATGCGTTTCAGAAAGGCGGGGCATAGAGGAGAAACAATAATGTACAGTATGTGGAAAATGATGTGTTTTTTGAACCTTAAACCGCATAAACACATTTCATTACACCAAATAATGTTATTTTTTAGCAACGTCATATAACCCCTTTAAGTGGACTATTTCCATCATTAAGCCTGGTCCACACTGCAACTTACTCTGCCCACTTAAAACAGGCTGTCTGATAGATATAAACTCATAATTATAGTAGTGCTGTCAATCAATAAAAAAAAAACTAATCGCACACTTTTCTGAAATTAATCGTGATTAATCCCACCTAACATTAACGTTTTTAAATATACATTTATATTGCAATAATTTCACAGTCAATCTTCAAGTTTATGTAGAAACAACAATTAAAAATTTAAATTTTTTAGTATCATTGATATGACTGATGTCCCTAGGAAAATGTTATTTTTTTCCTAATATTTAACCATTAACTATAGCCATTCAACATTACATTATAATTGAGAGCTATTAATTTGAACATTAGACTTAAAAAAATAACTTCTAATTTAAGTTAACTTAAAACAATACACCTCGGAATATTTGGGTTAAACTGTTCTGGAATAGTGTTGTAAATACAACTTAACCACTGATTTCTAGTCGTGTCCTCTTTTGGAAGACCAAACAAAGTAGTTTCAGTGTCACACACTGGCCTCTGCCTTCAGTGAGCGGAGGCCAGTGGCCTAGAGGGAGCAGAGGTGGGCGGGCTTGAGAATGGCATGGATTCGACGAAGGAGCGTCACTACAAAGAGAAAGGAAAAATTGAAATCGCATCATATGACCCCTTTAAACCCATTATAATAAATGTCATGCTTGTGCCCTTCAGCAATACAGAAATTGAGTAAAGTTATCAAACACTAAATTCTAAATGAAAAATAGATGCATCCTTAAAGCTACAAAAGTTGTCTTTTTCATCGTTTTTCTTTTGTTCTTTGATTAATAGACATCACAGCAGCTGGGTGATTAGGTTATTTGGCTGCTGTTACTTTAAGAGCTGCTGCTGCTGAACGTGACGTGGATCTGACACGCGTGCTCGTAGTTTCATTCGCACTTTATTTGAAATGAGACAGGCTACAGTATAATGCTGACAGAACAGGAAAATTCATTTTTACTGACATCTCTACTGACATTAATTTTCACTGTTGTTCTAATGAAGTTCCTCGTCACCTGTACCATTTCTGCAATCGTTTGACTAGCGCTTGGCACTGAGGTGAAGTGGAGTGCGCGTCTGAAAAGTCTCCTGTTTGATGTAAATAAATGCAATTCTTCTCAAGAAAAAGAGACTGAAGCAGCAGTTGTGAACCCTAGCTCCACCCCAGCATTAACTGCGTTAAATATTTTTAATGCCGTTAAACTGGAAAAATTAAATGCACTCATTTTTACAGCTCTAAATTATAGTAATTTAAACATGGAAAGAGCACAACATTATCCATACAAACAGTTGTTGACGTATGATTAATAAGTATTGTGTCTTTCAGGAGTTTAAACATAAACCAGATGAACCAATCAGATGAGACTAAGAACACACCCAGCCCAGCCACACAAGTCAGAGATGTAAATGCACCCGTTTAATATCCCGCAACCAGTCCACAGTTTTGAAATGTTGCCACACCGAATTAACTGTAATTGAGTGTTTTTCTTTGCTTTCTTATAGATCGATGAGATCTTTGGTGGCAGTTCAGGAAGTGCAGGTGTGAATGGTAAAGAGAACGGTAACTCATCAACCGTTTCACAACCCTCACGAGTGAGTACATCTTAATGATTTAGAATATTTTGGGATTGCATTGCTTAACTACGTGTTTTTCTGATGAAGCTGAGATGGTTGTTGACATTAGACGTGGTTGATGTACTAACTGTTGTTTGGGGTAATGTTCAGGTGTCTCTCACCTTGGAAGAAAAGCAGCGTTTGGCTAAAGAACAGGAACAGGCTGCCAAACTAAGAAGCCAGCAGCCGCTTGCTCCACAGAGTGTCAAACCAGCCACAACGACACCTCAGGTAACACATACACTGTACAAAGGTATCATGGGAAACCTATTGTCACTTTCACACATGGAATTAATTTTTGCAGTGAAATTACCAGATAAACTTTTCTGGTAATAGGTACCATATCTCATATTCACACCAGCATTCACTTTGTATTATTTGTCATTGTATCTGTACCTTACAATGACAAATAATATAATCTTAATGTAATTAATAGTATGCTTTTTGGCTTATTAATATCATTAATTTTACTTGGGGTTATTCTGCTTGACCCGAGCTAACCTTGTCTTTCAATAAAAAAGCCAAAATGCCTAATATCAATCTCTGATGTCATTTACCAGTTGCAACATAAATAGTAAGCTACAATATATAGAGACGGATACACACATAATTGTTAGCGCTTTCATCATTAAAAAATTCAGAACTGGCTAAAAGACAGCAGCTATCTTATGGTAGAAGTCCTAGCCTTGTGCTTGAAACCATTAGTGTTACAATGTTGTTCACTCATTGCATGACTACATGAATACAAAGAGTCCTGTGTACTTGAGACCTCTAAATGGGAAAATGCTATTACATGTATCACAAAGACCGTATGTCTTACAGAAAAACCAGTGATAACAGAATCTTTATGAGAATTGGAGAGTCACATTTTGCTGGTTGAAGTACTATGCTTGACTTTTAAACCGCTTGGTTTTTGAAGTAAAAATCAAGCCAGTCTCCCTGCACTCTAAAACGGCTTTTTTAATTAAATCGAGACATTTCTTCAAATGTACTGTTTTTATATGGACTAATTAATGTCTGTTAATTAATTTTATTTGCTTGCGTATAAAATTTTCAATTCTTTATGGTAAAAATAGTACATAACCTCCCTCCCCTCTGATTTTCACTTATGTTTTGCTTCAAATCAAAGTTTGTTGATGTTGGTTGCTTCATGACGTTATATCGAGAATTTCTTGTTAAAAAAGTGCTTCCAGAAGCAATGCAGCTGAAATGGCAGTCATTGAAATGGCAGTTTTTTTTTCATCAAGCAGTGTTAACTAGTTTATGCAGTTCAAGGCCAAGGTTATATGACAAAGTACAATGGGTAACACTTTCTAATAACTTTCATTAATAAATAATTAACAAACATTATATAATAATTAGTGCTGTCAAACGATTAATCGCAATCAATCGCGTCCAAATTAAAAGTTTTTGTTTATATAATATCAGTAATATATAATATTTATATAATATATATTGTTTATATAGTGAATGTGTACTGTGTATATTTATTATGTATATATAAATACACACAATATATATATATATTGAAAATATTTACATGTATATACATTTATATATTTATATTCTTATATTTTACATTATACATAAATATATTTAATATAAACATAACATATTTTTCTTAAATATATACAGGCATGTGTTTGTATTTATATATACATAATTAATATACACAGTATACACAATGTAAATAAAAACTTAATCACGATTAATCGTTTGGCAGCACTAATAATAGTATATTATACATTATATAATTTCTTCTAAAATCATTTGTAGATTTTAAAAAGTGCATTATCGTATGTATGTACATAAGTTTAATGACATTTGTAAACATTTCTGTTTTTTTTGTTGTTTTTGAGGTTGTAGTAACAATTCTGAAGAAAAAATATTAGACAGCTAAACAAAATCTAAACAAAATTTATGAATGGAATGATTCAATGACTCATTTAAAAAGTGCATTATCGTATGTATGTACATAAGTTTAATGACATTTGTAAACATTTCTGTTTTTTTTTGTTGTTTTTGAGGTTGTAGTAACAATTCTGAAGAAAAAATATTAGACAGCTAAACAAAATCTAAACAAAATTTATGAATGGAATGATTCAATGACTCGTTCAAGATTTACTTGTTTCATTACTGTATGAATCAGTGTTTTTCAATAAATCTCTTGAATGAATGATTCAAAGACAAATAAATGTTTAACAGCCCCTTTTCACCACGTAAAAGAAAAAAAAGATGCACACACAGGAATTGATAGGCGGAATTGAAATTTTTAATTTTACAACAAGTATCCGATTCCTGACCTTAAAGGGTCATGAAACCCACTGTTTCAGCACTGGTTAGTTCTCACCACAGTTTTAAAAAATGCTAAAAAAAAAGTGGGCATGGTGCGCAGCAGAGCGGAAGAGGGGAGACAGACAACGCACAGCTTCGAGTTCAGACGGTTTCATTTCGCTCCCATCGAGTTAAAAACAAATAAATGCACAGCCATTTGCACTCTGCATCGAAAACATTTATATGAACGCGCTGTTGCACCTCTGAGAACTTTTAAGGTGTATATATATATATATAATATAAGCCTTTTGACAGGTTGTGTCACAGAGCTGTAAAAACGGTTATGCTCACCAAGTAAATGAATCGCATTATGTACTATAACTAAAGATTTTTTTTTGTGTGTGTAAATTAAAAAAAAAAAAATTGTTTTATTGACTTTTATTGTTCAAGGCAAAGGATCTGACCAGCAGTCTTCTGAACAACATGACATCTCTGAACAACCTCTCTTTGAACTCTGGGACCAGGACGATGCCCATGCAGGGCGGCACGATATCCTCTACCTTCCCAGCTGGACCCACCATGGGTGGAATGGGCACCATGGGCGTCAGCAATGGTTTCAACTCACCCATGGGATTCCAGCCGGGAGGTATGGGAATGGGCATGAGACCCGCTGCTCCAGGCCTCTACGGAGGCATGGCCACCACTACCAGCACTCCAAATTTCAGTGCCCTCACCCAGAACCAGAACCAAAACCAACCCAGCAAGCCCAATGACATGTCCGCCCTAGACTCCCTCTTCGCTTCTAGCAAACCCAAAATCAGCATGAACCAAATGGCCCCTAAACCGGCCCCAGTAGCCACTGCACCTTCCCCGTGGCTCAATCAGTTTGGTACAGGCCAGACTGCACCCATGCAGGCGACTCCGATGGGGATGGGTAACACTTTCTAATAACTTTCATTAATAAATAATTAACAAACATTATATAATAATTAGTGCTGTCAAACGATTAATCGCAATCAATCGCGTCCAAATTAAAAGTTTTTGTTTATATAATATCAGTAATATATAATATTTATATAATATATATTGTTTATATAGTGAATGTGTACTGTGTATATTTATTATGTATATATAAATACACACAATATATATATATATTGAAAATATTTACATGTATATACATTTATATATTTATATTCTTATATTTTACATTATACATAAATATATTTAATATAAACATAACATATTTTTCTTAAATATATACAGGCATGTGTTTGTATTTATATATACATAATTAATATACACAGTATACACAATGTAAATAAAAACTTAATCACGATTAATCGTTTGGCAGCACTAATAATAGTATATTATACATTATATAATTTCTTCTAAAATCATTTGTAGATTTTAAAAAGTGCATTATCGTATGTATGTACATAAGTTTAATGACATTTGTAAACATTTCTGTTTTTTTTGTTGTTTTTGAGGTTGTAGTAACAATTCTGAAGAAAAAATATTAGACAGCTAAACAAAATCTAAACAAAATTTATGAATGGAATGATTCAATGACTCATTCAAGATTTACTTGTTTCATTACTGTATGAATCAGTGTTTTTCAATAAATCTCTTGAATGAATGATTCAAAGACAAATAAATGTTTAACAGCCCCTTTTCACCACGTAAAAGAAAAAAAAGATGCACACACAGGAATTGATAGGCGGAATTGAAATTTTTAATTTTACAACAAGTATCCGATTCCTGACCTTAAAGGGTCATGAAACCCACTGTTTCAGCACTGGTTAGTTCTCACCACAGTTTTAAAAAATGCTAAAAAAAAGTGGGCATGGTGCGCAGCAGAGCGGAAGAGGGGAGACAGACAACGCAGAGCTTCGAGTTCAGACGGTTTCATTTCGCTCCCATCGAGTTAAAAACAAATAAATGCACAGCCATTTGCACTCTGCATCGAAAACATTTATATGAACGCGCTGTTGCACCTCTGAGAACTTTTAAGGTGTATATATATATATATAATATAAGCCTTTTGACAGGTTGTGTCACAGAGCTGTAAAAACGGTTATGCTCAAAAAAAAAGTGGGCATGGTGCGCAGCAGAGCGGAAGAGGGGAGACAGACAACGCACAGCTTCGAGTTCAGACGGTTTCATTTCGCTCCCATCGAGTTAAAAACAAATAAATGCACAGCCATTTGCACTCTGCATCGAAAACATTTATATGAACGCGCTGTTGCACCTCTGAGAACTTTTAAGGCTTATTCTGTGGCATTTATATAAGCCTTTTGACAGGTTGTGTCACAGAGCTGTAAAAACGGTTATGCTCACCAAGTAAATGAATCGCATTATGTACTATAACTAAAGATTTTTTTTTGTGTGTGTAAATTAAAAAAAAAAAAATTGTTTTATTGACTTTTATTGTTCAAGGCAAAGGATCTGACCAGCAGTCTTCTGAACAACATGACATCTCTGAACAACCTCTCTTTGAACTCTGGGACCAGGACGATGCCCATGCAGGGCGGCACGATATCCTCTACCTTCCCAGCTGGACCCACCATGGGTGGAATGGGCACCATGGGCGTCAGCAATGGTTTCAACTCACCCATGGGATTCCAGCCGGGAGGTATGGGAATGGGCATGAGACCCGCTGCTCCAGGCCTCTACGGAGGCATGGCCACCACTACCAGCACTCCAAATTTCAGTGCCCTCACCCAGAACCAGAACCAAAACCAACCCAGCAAGCCCAATGACATGTCCGCCCTAGACTCCCTCTTCGCTTCTAGCAAACCCAAAATCAGCATGAACCAAATGGCCCCTAAACCGGCCCCAGTAGCCACTGCACCTTCCCCGTGGCTCAATCAGTTTGGTACAGGCCAGACTGCACCCATGCAGGCGACTCCGATGGGGATGACGGGAGTTCAGGGTGGCTTTGGAGTGCAAGCAAACCCGTTCTTCAATCCTCAGAACTTCTCGCAACCTGTGGCCTCTTCAACAGTCAACGCTGGGGTGATGAAGCAAAGCGCTTCAGTCAACAATGATCTTAAGGACCTCTTCGGATAAAACATTTGCCTTTCGTTCGCGTTCCCCCTTGTGTGGGAATCAAAACGAAACAACATCAGCAGTGACGATGACAGTCAAAATTTGGTTGGATGGTTGTCCTTGAAAGACAGTGTTTAAAAGTTAATCTGGTTTGTTTTCTTTTTTCTTTTTCTTTTTTAGCCCTTTCAATGGTGCACTTATCTTTTTGAGTGAATCGACGGCACCAAACAAACATCATGTTTCACAGAAAGCTTGGGCTCTTTCACTGAAAGCTGCTTCAGTTGGTGGATGCCTTGCATTCGTTGTATCGTTGGACTTGGCATGTGGCCCAGAAGATACAAAAGGAGTAACAAACTCAAGCACTTTTGGTTTCAATTCCTTATTGCTTGAGCCTCATGTTCCCCTCTCGCCTGAATGAGCCGACTTCGTCTACCAGAGCAAACGGCATCGATGGCCTCAGGATTTGCTGTTTTGCTGATGGTGTCTGGCAAAAGGAAGTCTTTATCATGCGATAAGTAAAGGAAGAGGTGGTGTAGTCCATAGTTTGGGCCGGAATGAGTGTTTTTATAATTGTGTATATACTGTATCTGGTGATTATTGTTCGAGTTTCATACTGATACATGATCCACTGAGGTAAAATATCTTAAAGGAAGGACACGGTCTTCATACTGTAGGTGCACTAAATGTAATGGAGCTAAAAATTATATTAAAACATGTAGGTTTTGAGATGTTGTTGGGTCAGTACTTTAAAGTGAGTTTGTGTAAAACAGAATCCATGAGCTTCATTCATGAAACACCTAGCAGATTCTTTGTAAATTTCTTGCTTTTTAAACTCTCTCGGATAAAGAGTCATATTTTAAAAGACAGTCAAATGTGCTTAATAATAAATAAATATGCATTACTGTAATATAATAGTAAAGATTTAGCTCTATACTTAAAGGGATAGTTCACCCAAAAATGAAATTTTTGATGTTTATCTGCTTACCCCCAGGGCAAGATGTAGGTGACTTTGTTTCTTCAGTAGAACACAAATGAAGATTTTTAACACAAACCGTTGCAGTCTGTCAGTCATATAATGGAGGTGAATGAGGATCACGGCTTTGAGAGTCAAAAAAAAACATACACAAACAAAACAAAATTAAACCCTGCGGCTCGTGACGATACATTGATGTGCAAAGACACGAAACAATTGGTCTGTGCAAGAAACTGAACAGTATTTATATAGTTTTTTACCTCTGATGTCCGAACTGTTCGAACTGTCCTGAGCAACGGTGCGTCCTCCTGAGCGTGTTCGTTCTCAACAGCAGGCGCGTGAGGAGTCTTATTCTTCTTGCTTTACGGCGGATCACAGACTTCTAAGTGCATTACCGCCACCTATCTCTCAAATGGACCATTGACACTCTATCTACAATCTCAATTAGGAGTTTCAATGGTGCATTTGAGAGATAGGTGGCGGTAATGCACTTAGAAGTCGGTGATCCGCCGTAAAGCAAGAAGACGACATGTCAGGCGCTGGCTGTTGAGAACACTCTCAGGACAGTTCGGACATTGCGTGAATCAGAGGTAAAAAAACATATAAATACTGTTCAGTTTCTTGCACAGACCGATCGTTTTGTGTCTTTGCACATCAATGTATCGTCACAAGCCGCAGGGTTTAATTTGGTTTTGTTTGTGTTTTTTTTTTTTTACTCTCAAAGCCGTGATTCCCATTCACCTCCATTATAAGACTGACAGACTGCAACAGTTAAAAATCTTCGTTTGTGTTCTACTGAAGAAACAAAGTCACCTACATCTTGGATGCCCTGGGGGTAAGCAGATAAACATCAAATTTTAATTTTTGGGGTGAACTATCCCTTTAACTACTTACAACTTTGTATGTATATTTTTTTGCATCATGATACTGAAAATAATAAATTTTCATTTTCAAATTAAGATTGATCAGACTTTGAGAGGGTTTTTTTTCGTAATGAGAATTGATGGAAAATTAGCTTAATTGTCAATGCGGAAAGCAATTTATGCAAAATATACAGTTTGCACATTTAGGTTTGGCGATAAAATGCGTTTCCTATAGTTATTTGGATAAATTGCAGCTATAAATGGTAAATTGTAGCATATTGTATACAACCAAGTTGTAACAGAAGTATGCGTTTCATGAATGAAGCCTGATACATTTGTTTCCCTTTTGGTTCTCTGCTGTTACTTCCTAACCTGTGTTTGTTCAGTCTGTATTATCTTGTAATGTTGTGTTTCTTGGGGACGTTACGGATCATTACATTAGGTCCACTTTATATGGGCAGTTTCCTGTTGTAGGAAGTGACCAATTGAATTCCTTATCATGTGATTCTATATCATGACCAAACAGACCACTGCAACACAGCAAATCACCAAAATGTGTATTATTTCTGAAGAAAAACAAAACATGAATGAAGTGTACAGTAAATAGAGGTGAACTGCCACTTTTTTATTATTATTTTTTTTTAATACTGTTGCAAGCGAATCACTTTCCTGAGGAGAATCTTTAATATCCAGACAGGTTTTATTCAAAGGGAATGCTTTTCCCGGTCTTATGAATGAGAGGCCTTATGTTGAGAGTTGTGCAATAACAGGTCTGTGATGGAGATTGTGAAAAGAACTTTCTGTATGAGTGTTTCACTACATGCAGTTCTCAAATAGTCTCGATTAATGTAGATAAAATATTTGGATTGTTTTAATTTAAAAAAAGTGAACTGGATGGATGGAAAGATGGTGATTTTTGGAATCAAATAAATTGATTATTTAAAGGGTAATACCTTTTCACTTCAGTCATTTCTTATTATTCTTGTTATTATTGAAGCATAGAGGATGTTATTGAAGCATATGGCACCACAGATCATTTAAAAGTACAAAGAAAAGCATTTGAAAATGCGTCATTTTACTTTATGAAAAATGTTTCCGAGTAGAAAACAGTAACAGTCAGTCCACAGCTAGCTAGTCTTTACTGATTCAATCTATTCAATTATACAATTCATCAGACTGACATTGCAAATATTCATCTAATGTAGTCTGTCTAGAAAAGTGCAGGTCATATTTCCCATTTTATATACATATACTGTATTAGAAAAGCCTAATAGTAACCTATTTTAAGACTTTTAAAATTGACATTGTTTCCATAATTTCAATTAAGTGATAAAAATGATTAGAAACCATAGTTGTATTTATTATTTAATTAAAAAACATTAATTTGGAAGGGTGTGCTACTATGCTTCATTGTCATGAAGATAATGGTGCAATTTGTTAAAAGTGACCTGGACTTGTTCTTCATGAGTCATCTTTATTTGTATGTGAAGAAAATTATTTTAGCAAATTTTGGTCAGTTGTTGAATAAACAGAAATATAGGAACAACACCGTTTCAAGAACATAATCACCACGAGAACCACTTTTTATGGCATTTAATAAAACAATATAGGCACATGGGTTAGCATGGACAAAGTGAACATCATTTTGATATTTTGTATCACATTTTTTGAGAATGGCCAGCTGACATTGTGTGAACCGGTGTCCTGAGATCATTCACATAAAGCTACAAGTAAATATTAAAGTAAACATAAAAAGAGGCAGGTGAGGTCTTATTGCTAAAGGCGGTGTACAGATCTCGTGGTGTTAGTGGACAGGTTGGTCTGGGTCAGGTCTGCAACAAAACTCAAGTGACAAAGTAATTTGTACTAAATAACTTGTATTTCTGTTAGTCTGTGCATTCACATGCCTGAGAAGTCTAGCTCATAGCTGAATCTGCCCGCTCTGAAACGCATTATCCCAGTGGAGTCCTGCTGGTACTGCGCTTCAATATCTAGACTTGACACACTGCAACATCCCCAAGAACCACCCTACACAAAGACAACGTCCAAGTTTCTGACGCAGAACACAAAAGGCATGACTGTCGTAGTGTTGCTGTGCAAGAATACAGAATACAGCATGAAAGCCGCATTAGACATTTTTGTAAACTGATGTTTATTTTTCTGAATAAATCACCTGGATACAGTT